TAGTTGTGTACATGTCTATTTCAATGCTTCACCACAGATGTGTACATGCTTATTTCAATCCTTCACCATAGATGTGTACATGCTTATTTCAATGCTTCACCATAGATGTGTACATGCTTATTTCAATCCTTCACCATAGATGTGTACATGCTTATTTCAATCCTTCACCATAGATGTGTACATGCTTATTTCAATCCTTCACCATAGATGTGTACATGCCTATTTAAGGTTGTACCTTTATCAATTGTATCTTGCTCTTTATTAAACCTAGGTCAAAGGTTCTTCACCTCTGTATCAACTCTAAATTAACATTTCATCAAGGTCAATCTGAGTGGATTTGAACAAAATTTACATATTAATTATCTCATTTTATCCTGTATAGGCAAAATCTCAGAACTGATTTTGATTGAATTTGCTATATAATGGTGCTGCACATTTGCTGACAATCCTAACCTCTGATGCCATTGCTCCTTCACAGACTGTTGTGAATTTTTCTTTCCTCAATGTTTGCATTCACATGTGAGCTTTGCAGAGAATTCAACTTTGATTTCAATCTATGGTCATCCATTGTCAACCTTTTCAATCATAATGTGAACTTTGACCTCTGCGCACTCATGCTTTGTAATTTTCCACTTCTTTAAACACATAACTACTTCCTGTATGATGTAATAATATCAATTTTTGTCAGCAAGATTAGCTTAGTCACGTCTCATCAATTCTACAATAGTTTTATCATCTATCGGATTAAACATGCGTACAATCATGCTTGCAAAGAAAAAAAATGACAAAATCCATACCAAGGAAATTCTCTGTGTGGCAACAATTTGATGAGCTCAACTAAATGTGGAAGTTCACGTAATGACATGTTTGAAATTCGAAACCAAATGACTACAATGACAATCAAGACTTCTTTAATTTACAAACTCAAAGGTTAGGACTTATGTCATTTTCTGTTCTCATAACAAATGAGAATCTATGAATTTACCTTGCATGGCCTCAGTACTCACAAGAGGTTTACTTGGTATGGCCTCATTTTGGGGAGATTAGATATTTATATTTTTCAATTTAGTGCAAAATGTCTTATTTAGCTTTAATTATTATCAGCATAAAAATTGGTAAATTGTTGAATGCATTTTTGCTTGCTGCATATACTGTATGGTATACTGGCTTTGAGGGTCAAAGGTTACCCCAGTATTTTGTAATAAATTGAAATAATTTTTTTCAGAATATAACCAAATGACGTTGGTCAAATTATAGTCTCTCATATTCTGCAATTGAAATAGACCTTAGACTGTAACCATGCTATTTGTAATTTGTGGCCATTTTGGTTTTAAGGTCTAGTACACCAGATGATGACTATTCATTGTAAATAATTTTGATTTGTTTTTTATATTGAACATTTAACAAGATCTCAAATGGTTTTATAATGCGGCTGAACTATCTTGTGTTTCATGAACAGTGCCCACTTAGGTGGAGGAAAGACATGTGTGATATAGCGAAGCAATTGTTCATTTGCACATGTTTCTTTCCTCCACATAAGTGACTCGTCATTCATAACACATGAACTGTGCCTTCATCTACATATCAGTTTGCCAGGTGGACTGTCTGTAAGCAACGGATGCATGATACTAAATGACTTGAACTTAAATCTATTTGAAACTTGTTCTTTGTTTCCTCGAGTATTGATCACATCCTTTTACCGGTAATAGCCATGAAATGCATTGTATGGTGTTTATAGTTTGACAGGATGTGATGTAATAATCTTAGATCTATTTCCAATTTTTTTGATAAATGATATGATTGTCAAATATACGATAATTTTAGAAAAAAGTTAGTTTGATATGCATTTATTGCAGTTATTTATCCAATAAATATCACATAAAATAATCTGATTTAGTAATTGGTCTTTCTCTAAGACTATTCTTTTTTTTTTCTCAGAAATTATTTTTGCTGAATCAATGAATCAGTCATGGTGGAAAGAAATTCCAGCTAATAGACCTGTATATTACATCAAAAATCGGTGGAAATAAATTCCATCTAAAGTAAAGTATTCCCCCCCCCCCCAAATAAATTTAAATGTTAATGCGAGAGAGTAGTCACCTGCGCACACGCGGGAATTGAGTCCCAAACGATAACACATGCTAAAAGTGCAAATGCTCAAGACGTTTGTTTGTAAACGATGACATGCTATGGCCATCGGACGCATGTGCAGATGACGACTCCCCCGCCCCCCTTTAAGGCTTGTCGTCTAGAAAACCATTGGTCTGTGTATTTAGTCTTGCCAATGGTTGATTCAGAATGTTCTCGTATTTGCTCTGCATGTACCATACATTTCAAGATGATTCCACAAACTTTTTTCACCTACTGAACAAATGTTTAAATTGAGATCAGTTATAACATTTAGTCAAT